CGCAGTCACTGCGAAGCCACTGGTTATCTTCTTTCGTGGGGTGTCTGTCGCGAGGATGGGTCCGTCGGTAGCGAGGTCCCCATTGAGCGCGAGTCACGTTTTGCAAGCGATCGGCCAAAAAACGACGTACCAACCAAACACCGTACCGTCACGGCGCCACGGCACTAACTGACAGGCTGACGAGAACCTCCAGTTGCTCGTCGGCTGGCGACCATGGCGGGGTGAGGGGCGAGAGCCGCCGGTGTGTGACTCCGTCTCGCTCCCGCGTGCTGATCGTTCGGTCCGTCCGCGTTCAATCTCGTCCTGTCTCCCTTCCGCGCGTTCTATTGCCACCTAGTGGCGGTCCCGCAAACTCGTTCCCTGCTACGGGCCTCCGCCTCCCCCTTCGCGGAATGCGATCGGTGGGGGTGAAACGAGCACGTGGAGCCGCTAAAGAGGGAGGTCCGAGCCGCGGTGGGGAGGCAGGCAGGCATGCCCGGCTTGCTTCGGGGGGTGAGGTTGCAAAATATGTTGTAGAAATGGGGTGGCCGATGAATGCGGTCGCCCGTAGACTAGGGATTTTATTGATCTTTTTTCCACCCCACGCAACCCCGGGTGGTTGGAGGAGGGCCGCGTACACTCGCGCACGCTTAATTAAGCGGCCGGACTTACGTCGCGTGTATGTATACACGCGCGCACACGTGTATACATACCTCCAGACTCCGGCCGCCTCGCCGTTTCGACGATCGACTGGAATCCCGGTCGACGGGCCGCGATCGATTTGCGGTAAGTTCGAGCCATTGAAATTAAACGAGCCGGACTGGGCCCCGGTAACTATCAACGTTTCCTCGATTGAATTTCGAATGATCACGCCTGTCGCTCTGACGTCCTATAGGATATGCGACTTGCTGCTATCTTATCTAACTATGTAGGTGCTGTCAACTCCTTATCCGTCTAATGAGAGATGAAGAATTTTTACTCGACTTTTTGAAGTCGATGTTATTCATCGCTTACAGATTGACGTAAGAGGCTATTTTATCATCATCAATTTTTTATCTGCGAAGAAAGTTATTTACATTTCGATGAATAGAATATTTCATTCTGTTCTCGGAAATTATTAATAGGATGTTCAAAGAATGGAATACTCGTGCTATACCTTTTAAGGATCCAGAGGAAACCACTAACAGCGAAATAAACATGATATGAATTGGATAAAAAATATTTAGTTTGAACATATACTTTGTTCCTTTACGCAATCTGAATTTAGTAACACCGAATAAAATGTAACTTTTGTTTCCTAAAATGTTGTTATTAATGTTTCTTTTGTTTATCTATATGAACTAAATATGCAGATATTAGCTTTTCGGTCCAGTATTTTGCTTTCGCGTGTACCGACAAATTCTATTTACGCGACGTTTATTCATCCACGGGAAACGGATCTTCGTTGAAATCGAGGATCAGGAGTAACTTTAAAATACTTCATATCTAAAATAATAGAGTCACATGTTAGAAACCTTTGACCAGAAATATAAATTTTATACTCACTATCTTCTTCTTGATTTTCTTAATAAATAGTACTCTACATGATGGTAATAGTTTTCATATTATGTTAATATTATTTTCATTTATAAATATATAATAAACATTGTACCGAACATTCTTTACTTTAGTTCCTCATATTTCCTTCTATATTTACCATTTGAAACTCTCAAAACATTTATTGTTTTATTTTTGAAAAGAAATAGCAAGTTCGTTGTACATAAAACTTCGGAATACAAAGCTGTGACTTTTTTAACGAAACAATGCAAATAGCTCTGTAACTCGACCGTACGTTTCGCAATTGTGTCGCGCTAATCCTCAGACGTGAAAATCAGATTTATAGACCTAGTTGACCTTTCTTGCATTCATAACACAATTACAGTACTGATTAGTACTTCTGCGAAAAGAATTCGCAGCGAAAAGCTAGATGAAATGCCACTTTTTATTTTCAAAAAATGTTGCAAAAGACTCACATAACAAAAAGTTACTGAAATGGAAGTTATTTTGTAAATTCAGCTACAACTTTAGAAGGAAATAAGCTGTCCAAACTGAAACATTTTATGTGCATTCTTCGTATTATTATATTAATACGGAAGAAAGATTTTGTTGAAAATATGCCGAAAAATATCAATCTTCCGAGGCTTCAAACGGTCACGCGAATGACTATTTTTTCCTTTACGTTAATGTCCAATCAAAGATTCGTAGGAGTAACACAAACTAGAATGCATCGATCGTTAAACCGATCACAGGCGGTTGAATGTAAATCTTGAATGAAATAGAAAGTAACCGGGTTGCATTGATCATACGGTCCGAGCCGGGTCCTTAATCCCGGGCTGATCAATTCCCGGGCCTTCGTCGTTCACGAGGATTTATCGTTGTCGTAGCCCTAAAGGCCCATAAAATCGCGAGAATTGTAAGATATTGTGTCTTGTCAGTTTCGGGCTTGGACTCGTTCGATCGCGGCGGGGGCAACGGGAACCGTCGAGATTCGGATTAATGTTTATGGCGCCCCAGAGTACACCGTGGAATCCCTTTCCCCGGGGCCGGAGTGTATAACAGCCTGACAAGTATTAAGAATCGATAGCACAGCCCGCGTTTTATGACTTATCACCAGTGCGGCGCGCGTCTTTCGTCATCCTCGCAGTACCAGCTCCTTCGTCCGATAATTAACTCGAGAAGCTGCGGAGGTTGGCAATCGGGAAACGATTTCACGGCAGACCAAGTCGACCGGACGGGAAGCTGAAACTTCGGGCCCGCGATCAACGAATCCATTTCCGCGTCAATCACGGAATAAACACGATTAATCGTTTCGGACAACTTTGTACCCACCCCGAGAAGTTGGCGATGCCGCGACTTGACGCGACCTGGCTCCGCGGCGGCGGGCCTTAAAGTGGATTTACTCGATCCGAATGTATTACCGGTCGGAGGGGGCTCGGGGACAGGGACGAGGAAGCAGCCACTCAAAGAGTTGCGCCAGCTGAAAGCGTGCGCTAATTAGCGATTCGATCACGAAGCATCCGATGCTGGGTAGACAACGTCGCCGCCTTCCCCGTATCTCCCTTTGATCCCACTTCATCTCCGTTTCATTCTCTCGCCCTCTTTGCTATCCTTTCGCAACGATTCCCGTTCACGCGGCTACGAGATGTATGCACGAGGCCGCGCGGCGGTTGCTAGCAAGGTGCAAGGTGCACACGTGATCGTAACAAAGGTTCAAAGGAGAAATTAGCAGGGGTGGGCCAGCTGGGAGCTTTTGAAGCTCGCAATTTCCCTACCGGGAATGTCCTGAGATCCCTGTATACGTGACTGAGGGAAAGAGTTTACCTCCCCCATTTCATCCCCGTTTTTCTTTCCTTTTTTTATGTCCTTCTCTTTTGCATCCGGAAACGTATTCGACGGGTATCAAGTGTATCGCGATGGAAAAAAGAAAGGGGAGAGGGAAAAAGGATTCCCGTCGACGGGTACAAATTAACCGGTGATTGCGAGACCCTTTACGACGCCACCGACGAAGAAGAGGATCAGAGATTCCCCTCTGTGGTCCAACAATCTCTCTGTCTACGCTCTCTGCCGTTTCGGTCCGGGGACCAATCGTGGCGCGAAACGCCTCGAGGGGGGAGTGGCGGAGGGTGGGGAAGGGCATGCGCCCGCAGACAAGAGATCTAATATACCCGACGGTTACATTAGCCGGATTTAATTTAAGCCTCGACCCCACCGCGTCTAGCGTGAAGCTTAGCGTTCGACCTACCGCGGGGCGAGAACACGTTGAAATCGGGGGAGAGAAAGGAAAGGCAACGGGCAGGAAGGTGAAACAGCGGGCGTCGACAGACGGTGGCGTGCCCGGTAGCGGAGGCGCTGCCAGTTTATTGTAATTGCACTGTCGCCGCGCGAGAGTGCCCCGCTCCCACGGACACAGAGTAGTCGCTAATGCCCGGCCGTTTCGCAACTTACCCGGAACGCTGGGACAGCTTCATTAACAGCAAAAAATCACCGTGACGAGCGGCACCCGCGTTTCTTCTTCCGTCGGCGTGGACTTTCACCTGGCCAGTGTGCGGCGTTTAGGTGAATCAAGCCGGTTGCCCCCGTGCCGCCATTATCTTTGGACCGTTTGTTACGCTCCCGCGTTCACGGCCGGCTTCTCTGTCACGGCAATGAGAGGATATTCTGATAACGCCCGAGCTCCCTCGGATATTCTATTTCGGTTGTTTCCGTTAAATGTTTTCCGCGTTGTTAGAATGATTTCAGGAATTTTTGTTGTTTATGTGTGGATACGTGAATGGTGGTCGTTTTGTTTTCTATTTGTTTAAAAAATTTTAAATAATGATCTACTAATTATTGCGATCCATATTCTATATTAATATCAGGAAAAAATGTTATGTATTCCAAACATGATAGTTTTATAATATGTGAAAATGTAGAGATGTAGAAGGAATACCCCTAATCTTGGATACTTAAGGTTTTCTAAGGATATTTATAATTATACATGTCTTTTAAAAAATGCTCAATAAACATGTACCTATAATGTACATGAGACAAAAAATGGCCGCTCTCGCCGGACAGTTGAATAGTTCACATTTTTCGTAAAAGAAATTATCTAAATATTGAGGAATATTTACGCAAGCTGCGTAAAACTTATTCGTGATATATGAAACATAGAACCCTATTTTCATCATTACTTTCCAAACAAAACTATAGGTTCATGTAGTTTCTTCAGTAGCTTCAAGCTTCAGGTATTTCAGTAAACACTAGTGTCTGGCATTAAGGGGGTTCCCCCTACTTATGATAATTAAAAGTGGTCGCCGTTTCATTACATTCGTTCAAAGAGAATGATAAGAGAAAAATAAATTCATCATAAAATTATGTGAAGAACATTTTGATACTGCAGTAATTGATAGAGATATGGAGGTTTTTATGTCAGAAGAAAAAAGACTAAAAATTACAAGTA